TCCAACCAAGAATTGTCTCAGCACCTTCACTGACCACCCAGCAGGGGGCTTCCCCCACGGACCACTCAGCACAGCAGGAGTCTTCCATCACTGGCCACACAGAACAGCAGGGGGGCCTCCATTCACTGACCACACAGCACAGCAGGGTGGCCTCCATCACTGACCACACCAGCAGGGGGGCCTCCACCACTGACCACACAGCAACAGCAGGGGGCCTTCCATCACTGACCACACAGCACAGCAGGGGGCCTCCACCACTGACCACACAGCACAGCAGGGGGCCTCCATCACTGACCACACAGCACAGCAGGGGGGCCTCCACCACTGACCACATAGCAGGGGGGCCTCCATCACTGACCACACAGCACAGCAGGGGGGCCTCCATCACTGACCACACAGCACAGCAGGGGGCCTCCATCACTGACCACACAGCACAGCAGGGGGCCTCCATCACTGACCACACAGCAGAGGACCCAGGTCGCTGACCGTGTGATGGAACGTCTGGTCATGGAGACGTTAGGGACCTGATGGGACTCAGTGGCTACTCTCCCTCATGGGAGGGGCCCTGAATGGAATCTGTCAGTTAAAGTAGGAAACACCGGGCTGGTTTGACCTTGAAAAGGAGAAGAAAAAATCTCCACACAGAAAGTCCCCGCCAACACGGCAGGGTTTTATTTGGCTTGTGTGTAACCAGCCCGTGTCTGAGCACAGCCGCCGCCAGCCTGCAGCACGCCCGTCCCCGTTCCCGTGGGAATGGCCTCCTGAGCCGCTGACGGAGCAGCTGGCGTCCCAGTCGGTGACGGGCCTTCGCTGGCCTGGCCCCTCCCAGAGCGAGGCCCTCCTCATCCCCAGCACAGGATGCACGGACCCACTGGCCGAACTCAGAACCAGTCCAGACAGACCGCCTTGTGCGGCCTGCCCCGCGCCTTCGGGCGTCTGCCCCCCTTCCCTGGGGGTGAGAATCCGGGCCATCTGTCCGCAGCGTCCGAGGCCTTTGCAGCCACCTGGTGTCTTCCCGGGGGCAGGGCAGCGGCGGCAGGACGTTTCCGGGAGCTGAGTCTGGGAAGCGACCCTGTGGGTCACGGAGCGGAAGGATGAGACTGGCCGTGGTCAGCTGCCTGCCCCAGGCCTCCCGAGACCCCGTCCTCGTCCCCCATCAGCTACAGTGTGTGGCTGCGACTGGCTGGGGGCTTTGGGCACCGGAACCGGGTTCCCTGCACCGTCCGCAGCCCGGCCTGGCGCCCGCCAGCGTCCCCTGAGCTGCGGCCTCCGGGCTCAGGCCTGGTGCCCGCTCTGCCCGAGCCCCCGCCACGCCTTCGTCACGCTGCCCACCTGCCCGTCACCTCTGCCCCTTCCTCTGGTGTTGCCGAGCTGAGTTCACTCATCCTTCAGACTCCAGCCCAGCGCCCCTTCCTCCGGGACCCTGTCCTGGGCCCCCAGCTCATCTGCTCCCCAAATACCCAGTGATGTGGGCGTAGCTGCCTCCAGCGTCTCTCCCATGAGTCTCTGAGCTCCTCGGGGGACAGGGATGGCCATGTCACCTCCATCTTCTAGCTCCTCCAGTCCCAGCCCCGCCTCCCCCTCCCCCCACCCCCTCGTGCAACCCCTCCCTCCCCCCACCCCCTGCACATCGCAGGAGCTTGGTAATTGTGCGCTTCAAACCGGAACCCAAGGAACTTGTCATTTAACTGGCGATTCTGTGAAGATGCGCACACACACACACACACACACACACACACACACACGCTGCACAGCGTGGAGGAGCTGCACTCAGCCCTTCCTGGGTCCCTGCTCTGGAGCGGGGAGCGGAGAGGGACTGAGGGAAGCCACTTGCAAAGTGGGAAATGGCTGAGAGCCATGGGCCTTCATCTCCATCCGCCAGAGCCTTCGTAGCCCCAATCTCTCGTGGGCACCTCGCTCGTGGCTGGCAGGAGCGGGCACTGACGCCCACCTAAGGTGCAGAGGCCACACTTGGGTGCCAGGCCCCCGCCCCCCAGTCACTGCTTCTCCGGCTGCTCTGAACCCCAGTTCTCATTCTGGGGCTTTGCTGTCATTGGCTTGGCTACTAGTTGTTGAAGCTCCGCTCGCCCAGTGCGCCCGTTCCCAGGTGCCCTCACTGCCCTCCTCCATGACCGGAAGGCGAGCCCGCGAGCCCTCCCTTCAGATGCAGAGACGTCTCCCTGTGTTCACGCCATTTCATAGATGGGTAAACTGAGGCTGGGATAATGACTGAGCCGACTGCCTCACAACTGACCAAAGGCAGAAACCTAAAGGCCTGGATTTCAAAGACTTGGGGGGCAGGAGTTCCCCCATCACGCCAGCCAGAAAGTTCCCGGGGGTGTTTGTGGCCCAGAAGCATCTCATTCAATGGGACCGTCTTCAGAGGTGAGTGCAATTCCACCAAACCCTGAGTATCCACGGAGGAGGGGACTTAGAGAGCAGCCCCAGCCCCGCCCCTGACAGCAGAGGGAACAGGGCACATGTTGTTTATTCCACACTCACCCGTGCTCACCTGTGCTCACCCGTGCTCACCCATGCTCACCCGTGCTCACCTGTGTCACCCGTGCTCGCCTGTGTCACCCATGCTCACCCGTGCTCACCTGTGTCACCCATGCTCACCCGTGCTCACCTGTGTCACCCGTGCTCACCTGTGTCACCCGTGCTCACCCGTGCTCACCTGTGTCACCCGTGCTCACCTGTGTCACACATGCTCACCCGTGCTCACCTGTGTCACCCGTGCTCACCTGTGTCACCCGTGCTCACCCGTGCTCACCTGTGTCACACGTGCTCACCTGTGTCACACATGCTCACCTGTGCTCACCTGTGTCCCCCGTGCTCACCTGTGCTCTGTTCCCAGCAACAGCCCCTTGCAGTCAGAGTCACGGTCCCCTTTTCTCAATGAGGCTGACAGAGGCTTAGGGAGTTCCAGCACCTGGTCCAGTCGCCCTGCCAGTAAGGGACACAGTGACCCAGGGCCCTGGGGACATTCGCTCTTACGGTTTGAGTGGGAATCTTCTCTGTGAACTG